TGAAATGAATTTAACATGCATTTGGAGCCAATTTTACTACCATAATAATGATAATGATAATATTTGTAACGTGAATTACAACTTTTGCAATAAGAGTTACTATCTCGCTATTGCCATTTGTTAACTCATTTCTTTCAAACCCAAATAACATCTATTTTCAGCCAATTTTACTACCCCGATAATGATAATAACAACATTTGTAATGTGAATAACAGCATTTGTAATCAAATTAACCACTCCGGTCATGCCCATTGGCAACTTCCACCATCTCCCTTGGAGGAGTTAAGCAAATGGTAAAAATGTGTTGACAAAATAGCATACAAGTACACCTGAAGAACATCATAATATGTTTATATTAACATTCAGACTTTACTACATGTATAATGTAATTGACTACTGAAGTGATAAGATTTACCAAAAACCAGTACGTTTATGACAGAAGTTACGTAACTTGTATTCAAATGACAAGTTAACATTAAGATTAAACCACCACCCAATGTTTCCTTGTCATTCAGATTACAAACATATCCTACCCAGTTAACATCATTTACAAAAAGGATAACCTCTCTATCAACTATTCTCCCAAAAAATTAAGGGTTCAAAAGTTATTCTATTTACACCAAAAAAATTACTCCTCAATGTTAGACCCAATGTCAGATGTCATCAAAGCCTGCTAACCTGCAACAAAGAAGCATAAATCAATATTTTAGTTCCCCAATAATCAATTTCATTTATCTTTCGAAACACCCAAAAAATACACACACCCACTTACTCCAGTGACAACTTAAATATAGGAATTTACAATTTCACTAATGAATTTAGCAACACTGACCACCTCATGCTTACTGTTTGTCACCATTTTTCCATTCCCGACGCGTCACTCTCTTGCCCTGGTCAAATTCTTCATCCAAACCCTCTACACTCACAGACCCATCCCATTCGAGCATACAGCAACAAAGCGAGTCAAGAAATCGGGTGATACCAGCGTTTTAACGGAAAAATTGCTTACCTTTTCCCTCTTTCCAGATCTCGACCCTTGCTCTAGCTTCCTCTTCTCAGCCTCTCTCTCTTCTGGTATATTATTGTTTTCTTCCAGTTCATATCTTCATAGAGGTTTAGGGCATTTTAGTCTTTCTACGGAATTGACAAAATTCCAGATTGATACCCCATGCCTATTTGGTCATTTCAGTTATTTGCATACCTATTTTGTCATTTCAAATTTCAACAGTCCTTTTTCTGTCATTTTTCCAAAAAATAATTATGAAAAAATATTTTCAAACCTCAGAAAATTAAGGAAAAATAAGGATAATATTCCTTAAGAATTTTTATGATGAGGTAGAAGTGGTTTTATACCCAAATTACTACTAGAGAAATTACAAAGGAATTTAAAGGGGAATTAGGCCAATATTGTGTTTTATTTGGGAAAATTTCAAATAATTATGTGGAAGGAAAATAAAATTCTAAGAAAATTCATATGATATCCCAAAGACTTATAAGGGATTATGGGATTAAAAAGAGTCCCTTAAACATCCAACATATTTCTAAATTCTCATGACAAGTAGAGAAATCCTGATAAAAAGGAAAATAGTTTTTCTTTTTATATAATTAGTAGGAATTTGGGATTTTAGCAAAAGAGGACATCTTGGGAAGAGAAAAATAAGAAGAATGGAATATGGATCTAATAAAAAATAATTACAGAGGCCAAAGTACTATAATTATAAAAAAAAAGAATTAAACCCGAAGCAAAAGTACACCAATAAAGCAAGAAGTAAAGTCTTGCACTTTGAATGGCCTATATTTTGCCAATTGTCAAGCCACCAATAGAAAGGATTTAAAGTTGTCAAGTGTCAAGCCCCTAATGGAGAGGATCTTGACTTTTGAAATTAATTACATTTGGAATTAAGTTAATTAAGAGAGAAGTTACAAAATGGTTTAGGGAATTGACACCTAGCATGGTATTAATTGTAGTAGTTGAGATATTTTGGCATTAAATAAACACACTCGTCCCTCTTACAAGACCACTCAAGTTGTCTTTGCCTCAAATGAGCAAGTGGGATAGCTAAAAGTGGACCCTTCTTTTAGTCTTAATTGAACAGCCAGTTCCATCAGTTTCCACCGTGGCATCAACTTCCACAATACTAGCGCAATCTGAAACATTAGCGGAAAACCTTTGCCCAAGGGGATCATCATTAATAATAGAAGAAATACACTCCATATGTGAATCAGTAGGTGATACAGAAAATGTGTGTGGGATGGAAAGCATACAATTAACCATTGTACAGTTAAGGCATGTCACGTCACCACCACATGAACAAGTAGAAGGAAAAGAATAAAGAGATAAAAAGGAAGAAATTGATTCATCCTCATAAATAGAATCAGTGGAATAAAATTCATAGCAAAAAGAATCATTTTGCAATTCAAGTTCAGAGCATGCATCCTTAACAACAATATCAATCATGTTAACACACAAAAGTAAAGGATGTTTCATAGCCTCATATATGTTAAAGCAAACTTTGTGATCACCTACTTCCATAGTGATAGTACCTTCTTTCATGCTAATCATAGTGTTAGCAGTCCTTAAGAAAGGTTGACCAAGGATTAGTGTGATATCATTTACAAGCTTAGAAGACATGTCAAGCACATAGAAGTCAACAGGAAAAAACAAATCCTTAACTTAGACCAAAATATCCTCAATAATACCCTCAGGATACCTAATAGTCTTATTAGCTAGCCGTAGTACAACAGTGGTATTAGTGGCAATCTCACCCAAGAGGGGGTGAATTAGGTGAGTTATAAAAATTTAAGCGTATTGAAACAGTGAAATAAATAAAAATAGAGAGCTTCAAGTCAGAAGGATTTCATCGCGAAGCAAGGACATAGGATTTATACTGGTTCAGTCTTAACCACTTGACCTACATCCAGTCCTCAGAAAATGTCTAAGATTTCCACTATAATCCCATGATTAAACAGGCTCTTGGTACCTCAGTACAGTAATTGATTTCCTCAATCACTCCCCCTTACTACCTATAAGGTTATAATCTCCCTCAAGAGTCCACACTCTTGAGTTACTCTCTGAAAGTGAGTAAAGTAGTGTATCAATCTCTCTCACAATCGGTGAAAAACAGAGTATTGAATGCAACAGTAAATATTTTAGCAGCAGGTAGCTCATGTATGTAATAACTCATTTAATGCTCTTCGCGGCTTTTATAGTTGGGAAACTTTAATTAACCGTCAGACTAAAGAGCTTCTAGTCGTTGGAAGCTCAGTTGCATGTTTTCCCAGTTGCAATGGTATTCGCCATTAATTTTTATGACACGGTAGGTTAAGGGCTACTAAATATCTGTTGAGCTTCGTATTCTGTAACAATACTTGGAACTAATAAGTTTTTCCTTCAGAATAAAACTCATAAAGATAACTGATCAAGTGATAATAATAAACATTCATGTGGCAGTTGGAAAGGAATCAATCATGAACTAGACATCCTTGATCGAAATCATGATCGATAACTGGTTGATCGATCAAGTTATCGATTGAACAAAGTGAAAGAATTTGAAACAAATAACTATATTTATCGATCAAGTTATGGATTAACCATTGATCTATCAAGTGACCGATAAATGAAAAGAGTGACTTTTGAAAGATTAAGCAGGAAAAGGTTTAAGATCACCTATGGCTTTTAATCCCATAAAATAGAGAATTAAGATTAACTTGAAGGTTGAGAAAAGCTTAAAGATAAAAATACAAGAGATTTTGAATCATTGTGAAAAGCTTGTTATGAAATGAACTTGTACATTGATCGAATAATTGATCAAAAATTGCTTGACTGATCAAGTTATCGATAAAGCTAAGCAAGAGTGTAATGGTTTTCTAAAGACCATTGATCGAATACTTTATCGATAAATGAATGGTAGGAAAATTGATTGATAAAAAGTCAAGAAAAGTATTTTACGATGAAAACGCAAATTGTATAATGTTTGAATAATTGATCGATTAAGGATTGATGGATCAAGTGATCGATAAAATATTGTCTGAAAAACTTAGTTAAAAAAAATGGGGATAAAGCTTGATCGATCACGTTATATGAAAACAGAATATTCAGAAGTTTAGATAATCAATCATTTCATCAAAAATTAAATGATCAATCAGATGATTAAAAACATAACTTAAAAAAGTAGATGCAGTGAGATAATGATGATTGATCATTTGATCAATAAATCATTGATCAATCAAGTGATTGATTAAGAAACCAGATAACAACCTTAAATAGAAACATATCAAAAATTCAGTGAGTGATTGAGCAATGTTTGATCAAGTTATCGATAAATCTCTAATTGAAAAAGTGATCAATAAATGGTGAATAAAACAAAATATAACTTAAGTTGAAGAGCTTTACCATTTATTTGTCTTCTCATTGATAACTTATTTATCGATCATGTGATTGATAAACACTTACCAGAATTATATCTCTTTATCTATCAGCTGTTTGATCATCTAATTATGAAGCAAATGATCGATAATTTTCTGCAGACTTCTATACCAAACAATGTTAACAATGATCGATCAACACATAAAACTTGAATTATTTATCAATTTATCGATCAAACTTAGTACCAACTTTCAAGCACACAGGGACATTTTATCTAACACTTGATCGATTATCTTTTAATCGATCAGCTGATCAATCAACATGTTAAACCAAAACATACTTGACTTGTTATCATCAAAACCTTAAATCTAACATTCTCCCCCTTTTTGATGATGACAAACCACAGGTGTAAGATTAATCAAATTTCATCAGATAAAAATGTAAATTAGATCAAGAATTTAGCAAAACCTCATGACAAAATATTCATGAGTAAATATCAAGCTATCAAAAGTTAACAGACATGCACAACTAATAACATTAAAATACTCTCAGAGTTCAAATTACACTCCAGAAATCAGATTACATAAGGAAAACATAACAAAATAATAGAAGGCATTATAAAAACACAGAAGAACTAAACAGATTCCTTCTCTCCCTTTTTGTCAACATCAGAAGGTGGGAAAGAAGTAGGGACTGTAGGTAAGGTAATGGGAATAGGAAGAGGGGGAAGCTGAGTAAGTGGAGAAATAGCTTGAGAAATGGGTAGAAGAGTCAGAGAAGGAGTAGGTTGAGGAACAGTGATGATGGCTAAAGTAGATGGAATGGGAGAGGATGTTATAGGGATAGAAGGAGAAGCAAGTATGGGAGAGGTAGAGATAGGTGAGGAAGATGGTTCAGGAACAGGATGAGAAGGAGAGGGTAGATGAGATAAGAGATCCTTAAAGCTAAAGGAGGTGCTTGGTACAGAGAAATTATTACAGAGAGAGGCTACCATTCCTTTCAATTCTTTAATTTCCTTTTCAACAAAATCAAATCTCTAGGAAACCTCCTTTTCCAAGATAACTATGGCCTAATGATGAAGATCCAGAACTGTGTAAAGACCCTCAAACTTCCTATCAGATATCTGCCCATATTCCTTGGTTGTATCATAAACTCTCCTCTCAAAATCTTGGAGCTCAGTCTGGAACATCTCTTTCATTGATCTCTCAATAAACGAAGGTCCAGAGGTATAAGAGGGAGCTGCAATGGATTCTGCTTCATCATGTGGTCTGGAGCTATTAGGCACTAGTTGTTTTCCTTTTTCTTTGTGTGCCAGTTTTTGTGATGGTCTGAATGGCACTGGGATTCTCATTTTGTTTAGTTGATTTATGCCAAATGCAGGAACCTTCACTTTAAGTTCTCCTAGGTCAAGAGGCGCAATATTATGCACTTAAATTAGATAGGTGGCCAGTTGAGGATAAGGGATTAGTGTGGACTTAGACTTGTTAGGAACAAAGTCCTTCATTTCATTAAAAATCAGATCCCTATGTTGATCTTTTCTCCATTGATTATTCTGGCCAACAAAAAGTAATCATCTCGGTTTAGATGTGAGAAACTTCTAGACTTATTGATCAGACTCCTTCAATAGATATAGTGGATTATTCTATAATAATCACACATTTGCTTTAGTGGAAAATTAAGCTCCCTTGGGTAGCCATCACTCTGTATTAGAATCTTGTAAGCTTTAATGTCATTCATGTCACCTCCCCTCACAAATTCTTGGGTTCCTAGCAATTCATTCAGCTTGGTACTGGTAAGATTGAAGGTTCCACCTCTTAGTTTGGTATTTAGATAATCATTCACCAGATTATCTTGTTCATCGTATTCCTCCACAAATTCCATATTGCAATAGAATCTCTTAACTACTTCTGAGTAATATTCTCCTCCAATGATCAACCAATTGGAATAGTGTTCAAGTGGATTGCTCAAGTCCAAATTAATTTTCTCATTTTTCTTCACGCCTTTTATATCAACAGAAACCACAAGACAGAACTTTCAATTTGCAAAATCTGCCTTAAACTTAGCCATATTCACATCATTATTCAAATTCCCAACCAAAAACTCAAATGATTTAGATAGAGTACCTTGGGTAGTAACTTGACGTGACGCACACTCACTTGCTTTCTGTTTCCTCTGTCTCAGCTATTTGGGTACAGGAATTCTTAGTGCAGCCTCCACAGGTTTCTGAACTAATGCTTTATCATCAGATTCTATCTCAGATTCCTTAGTAACCAATGACAGCTTAGATTTGGACTTTGACCGTGGAGATTTTCTCTGAGGGATGGGTTGCTCAGAGCTTTGGTCTGGCTTTCTCATGTCTTCAATACACCTCTTTTCTTTGAGGGTTCTTCCCTCACTTAATGTCTATATCTTTTTTTGTGGTAGAGGAAGTAGTTTCTCTGGATTGGGTTTGTTTCTCAGTGCTTTCCTCTTGGCTAACATTTGATTACTTAACTCTTGCCATTTCTCATTGCCCAGAAGAGATTTTGAAGAATGTTTGGTGTTTTGTGGGTTTGAGACACTTGGCAGGGGTTAAAAGAGCTTAGGGAGTGAGTTTGTGTGGAAAGGAGTAAGGAGTTTGATGAAACAGTGAAAATATGAACGTTATAAACACTAAATTTATCAATCAAGTTATTAATCAATGACTGATTGATTGCGTGTTTGATAAATAAGAAGAACGCACAAGACCACTGAAGACAATTATCGATCAAGTTATTGAATTATCAATCACGTTATCAATAAATGTTAAGTAAAAGTGCGTACTTGGTCTGGTTTATTGATCATTTGATTGATTAACACTTTATCAATTAACTTATCGATAATTCTTACTTATTTGACTGATTTGATTGAAATTTTTCATTACTGTTGATTGATATGTTGATTGATAATTGAGTGATCGATCAGCTTATCGATAATTTTCCTTCCATCGTCTCTAGTCAGTTCCACATTCCTTGTTTATTGATAAGTTGATCGATAATTCATGCCAATTCACTATGCATTTATCGATTATACCATACTCTATTCACCTTTGTTTTTCCACGACAAAACAGAGCTTCCTGCAAAACAAATTTCTACGCACTCTGATACTTAAGTTAGTCTTTCAATCATCAAAACTTTAAATCTAAAGACTCAAATTAGAGAGATAAGGTGAGATTTCTTACAACTCATTGGGATTTACCATTCCTAATTCTCTTCTAAAGTAATTAAACTTCTGTTGATCGAGAGGCTTCATGAAAATGTCTGCTATTTGATATTCAGTGGGAATAAATTCTACCTTTATATCTTTCTTTTGAACATGGTCCTAAATGAAGTGATGTCGAACGTCAATGTGCTTGGTTCGGGCATGATGAACAGGATTCTTGGACAAACTTATTGTGCTTATGTTATCACACAGAATTGGAATTTCCTTCAAGTTGATTCCTAAATCTTGTAGTTACTGCTTTAACTATAGAATCTAGGCACCATAGCTCGCAGTGGCAACATATTCTGATTTTATGGAGGATATTACCACAGTATTCTGCTTTTTGCTTGACCATGAGACAAGACATCCTCCCAGAAATTGACATTGTCTACTAGTACTCTTTCTGTCTGTCTTACAGCCTCTATGATCAATATCTGAGTATCCCATTAGATATTCTGCTCTTTTCTTTGGATAACAAATTCCTAAATTTTGTGTTCCGACAAGATATCTAAGGATTCTCTTGACGGCTTCTTCATGTGATTCCTTGGGGGCTGATTGGTATCTTGCACACATTCCCATATTGAATTGAATATTTGGTCTACTTACTATTAGGTAGAGTAATGACTCTATCATCCTCTATACTTGGTCAGATTCACGTCTTTGCCTTTCTTGTTTGTGTCTAGTGATATGGTTGAGCTCATAGGAGTCTTCACACTTTTAGCATTTTCTAATCATATTTCTTTAGTAATTCCTTAAGATACTTCGTCTAGAATATAAATATACCATTTCTCTTTTACTTGATTTGTAGTCCCAGAAAGGAGTTCAATTCTCCTATCATTGACATCTCAAACTCACCCTACATTAACTTAGCAAACTCTTGTCAGAGATCCTCATTAGTAGCTCTGAATATAATATCATCCACATAAATTTGAACAATTAATAGTTCCTTTCTACTTTTTGTCACATCTAATAATATGGCAATTAGGAATAAGGGTATTCCTAAATATTTAAAGGCCAAAAATGATGAGGAGAAATAGAAGAGTTTTGGTGGAAAATAATTATTATAGTTTTCCAAGCCAATTATGAAAAGTTTGACTAATTAAGGAAAATTGGTCAAGAATAATTATGAAAAAATATTTTCAAGTCTCAAAAAATTAAGAAAAAATAAGGACAATGTTCCTTGAGAATTATATGGGATTATAAAATTGGTTTTATGACCAATTTGCCCTTAGAGAAATTACAAAGGAATTTAAGGGCAATTTAAGCTAGTTTAAGGTCTTTATTTGGAAAATTCCAAATAAACATTTTTAAGAAGAATAAAATCCCAAGAAAATTCCCATGATATCCCAAGGAATTATAAGAGATTATGAAATTAAAAGAAGGCCCCCAAGTATCCAAGATTTTTCCCAATTCCTCATAAAAGTGGAAAAATCACAAAGAGAAGGAAATTAGTTTTCCATTTTATTTAATTATTAGAAAATTTAATTTGAGACGAAGAGGGAAATTTGGAAAGATAAAAATGAGGATAATAATTTATGGATCTGACAAAAAATAATTACAGGGACCAAAGTACTGTAATTATAGAAAAGAAGTTAAACCCGGAGTAAAAGTGCACCGATAAAGCAAGACTAGAGTCTTGCAATTCAAATGGTTCACACTTAGCCATGTGTCAAGCCTCTAATAGATGGTAATTAAAGCTTTCCAAGTGTCAAGCTATCAATGGAGAGGATCTTGACTTTGAATTTAATTACATTATGATTTAAGTTAATTAAGAGAGAAGATTAAGACTAAGTAGGCTCTTGACACTTGGCACAACATTAATGATGGTTGGTGGGATATCTTGTGTGCATTGAATGAGCTTCTCCTCCCCTAAATCTAATCCATATTTTGTGCAAGGAGAGTTAGAGAGGAAAAAGGAAGAGCTTCAAAGGAAAACCAAGAGAAAGGCATCAACTTTAGTCATTCAATCAAGGATTCAAGGTGAGTTCTTAGTTCTAGATGTGTTCTTGCCTTGTTTTCCTTCTCTTTTATGGTTGAAAAATCTGTCCCCTCTCTCTCTAATGGTTGGCGAAACTAAATAATAAAAGGGGAAGGGAGTTTTGTTCATCACACTTGCTAAGACACAACAACACAAGTTAGATCCTAGTGTTTGCAAGTGATTATAGTTGGTTTTGAAGCATTTTTCATGGTTATTTCCTTGAGTGTTATTTTTGGCCAAAGCAAGATCTAAACCCTAGGATATGTTTTTCAAATTTTTGAGGCTTCCATTGTGTTCAAAATGAAAAATAGTGAAAGGTAAACCTAAAGAACAAGTGTTGGAAGCCATAGAAGCAAAGTTGCAATTTTTGAGTTTTAAACCCTAAGGGCCAAGCTGAAACTGGAAGAGGAAAATTTATTTTGTTAAATCCAAGTATATATTTGGAATCTACATGAAAAATCATGTGGGGTTGAGCCAAGAGGGAATTTTTAGGGTTTATAGAAAACAACTCTAAAAATTCAAGAACAAAGATGAAAGCTTTAAGGGGCTTAGGAGTTACTTGAGTTATGCTATTGATTTTATGAGGAATGGTTGATGATTCTTGCTACCCTTTTTGTGGATTGCCATGTTAGGGTTTGGCACTTGTAGAAGCAAGAAGGAAGAACAAGAAAAACAAAAAGCATTTGATTAAGGTAGTGGGATCTAATTAGCCATTAATGTTAACTTTGCATTGTTATTTATGGCATGTATGCTTGCTATTATATGGTTGAACTATGATGTTGTGATATGGTTGCTC